TTCATCTTTTCCCCATTTGGTTGGGAAAAGATCTAGTAGCCGAAAGATGTAGATCCGAAAAGATGCGAGAAGCCCGTTTTGGGCTATTTTTTGGAAGATCCAAATGGAGCTTTTCGCTTTTTTTGCTTTGTCTTTACGTGGAAAGACGCACCTCCACCAAACGGTCTGTGGACTATCAAGATTTTTATGTAAAAACTCACATCGTCTTTTAGCTGTCTGATCTTCTAAAAGATCTTTGAAAAAAGACTTACAAAATGACCCCTAAGTCGATTGATGGTTTGGTTTTCATAATGTGGAAGAGGAGCAGCCTTGTTCAATTCCTGGATCCAACTTTTGATTTTCTGACTTTGTTGGCTATTATATAAGTGTTTTCATATGTTCTTCCACATCTTTCAAGCCAAACTTCCCAAAGAAGAATTGAAGGAATAATTTTTAACACTCGACTTCGTTGGGTACCTATATCCACGGTTTTTAAAACCAATCCGGTGACCGAATTGGTAAGGGGTCTAGTTATCGGGTCGAATGGTCTGACTGTTCAAATCGAATGCTTGGCCCGTTCTGACAAGAAAATAAAAAAATTCAAAAAAATAAAAACGATCAAAATCGTTCGGACGATTCGAATGGTTAACCGTCCGATCAGTGGTTCGCTGACCAAAATCAACAATTTTGAGGGAAAATCCGGTTTTTGGGGAAAACAGACCTGACCGATTCCCAATTTTTCCGATCCAACTATCCGGTCCGGTCCGGTTTGAAAACCATGTCTCTATCACATAGGTCCCACCAATTGATGATTCGATCTCTAACATGCTGAGATCTATATATAGGAATGCCAAAAATACTTCCAAAGTAGTTCCAACATTTTAAGGAAGGCTAGCACTCCATTGCCAAAGAGATGATCAAAAGATTCAAGTCCTAGTGCACCGCAACAACAACATTTGGAAACCATATAGATGCCCTTCTTTCTAATATTCTCATCCATCGCAATACTTTTATGCATAAAATGCCACATGAAAAGAAAGATTTTTGAAGGAAAGCCTGATTTCTAAACATATATATTTATACCAGTCCACAGTTTCACTACGACTTATAATTAGGTTCCAGGCTGACGCAATAGAGAAATTTCCATTAGTAGATTCAGTCCATATCAGCCTATCCTCATCATTTGATAGCTGCATTTCTAGACAAGCTACATAACTTTGAATTTCCTCATTTACCTTAAAAGTATCATTAAATTGCTAACTTCCATCCTGCATTAAAACATCCTTAATGGAGAAATCCAAACTATCTTGGTGTTAATAATAATAATAATAATAATATATTTTGGCTTAATACAAGTCGCCATCAAACCATTAACCAGAACGGGTTTATAGACAGCTGCTCTAGTTTGTCTGACCGATTCTAGACATAACAGATTTAGTGACTCCTTATTAGGAGTAATAGAAGGAAACCTCCATCAAGGAGTAACAGATTTATCATTATCATCATCATTATTACTATTGTTGTTGTTGTTTAAACAAATGACAATAATAAAGGCATTAATGCCATTTTATCACGTCTTAAATGTGTTTGATTCTAGTAAGACATGAAACTAGGTCTTATCAATTCAGATATAAATCTGTGTTTCAGATCCTTTAATCAAACCTAAACCCAAACGCCAATGGCATCTGAAAAGCAAAGTTTATAGGCCTCAGATGTCTAAAAAGTATTATCAAATGCCACTTAAGTTCTTTAACCTCCATAATTTCTTTCCACAATCAGAGCGGTCTTGCACATGAGCATTAGAGATATGGACCAAATTCATGTGCCTTGATTTCATAAATCAGGCCCATGTGGATTTCATATCTATAATTTTAAAGCATGCTTTCGTTCTCAAAGCTTTCCTTGTGTCATCCAAAGATTTAATGCCAAGGCCTCCTTCGCTTAGGGGTTTGCATATTTTTTCCCAACTCCAATGTAGCTTAAGACTAAAATCAGATTGGCCCCAAAAGAATTGAGAAAAAAATTTGATGAATAGAAGCAATCACTTTTTCTGGTGGGGCCACACAACTTAGAATATAGAAAGGCATGCTTTGTACAACAGGTTTTAGAAGAACCAATTTTCCACTAGCTGACAACAATTTATCTTTCAAACCATCTAGTTTTTTCTCACTTTTCATACTAAATCATCAAAGTCCCTACTTCTTGGGCATCTCTTACTTGCAGGAGCTCCCAAGTATGTCATCGGAAGCCTTTTCCTACTAAACCCAAATACCCAATGACTTCTTTGATCATGTTTATTCTTCTAGAAGCAGTGTTCTTGGAGACAATAAAACATGATTTTTGATTGCTTATTTTTTGACCCGAGATTTCTTCATAGCAAGTTAAAAATTTCATAAGATTTTGCAACCCCTTTTTTAAACCTCTGCACAAATTATTGTATCATCAGCGAATAAGCTTTTTTTTTTTTTTTTTTTTTGGGTACTCGGTGCTATGCACCACTAAACCTCCCCTTGACCCCTTTTCTCCTCAAAGTGGTGGTTGCGGGATTCGATTCTGCATCACTGTTGGAGCAAACCAACTACATAATCTTAATCAGATGAATGAGTAAACAGGGAATTTTTGAGCTAGAATTTAATTGGGTGATACTTCCAAATAGGTTGACAGAGTTTGGTAAAGAGGTATTTTGGGATGTATGGAGTTTAATGGAGAGGATAGATTTTTCAATTGGATAGGTAGAATAGGAGATCTAAGGTCACATTGGGTTGGCCAGTATGGGTCCTCGGAATGGAATATTGAATTGTTCATGGATCAAATTGGGGAATTCAGCTTTGGAAATTTGCAAGTTGGCTGAGTATGGGCTTTTAGGCTTAGTGGTAGAGTCTAAACAGGTTTGGGGGTTCCCAATTGAATGATTTGGTCTGATTTGATGGGCATGGTATGAATGGAGATTTGTCAAGCCTATCAGGTTGAGGTCGAATAAATACAACTATGGATTTTGAGGATTTTAGGCTGAGATTTGGACTCTTATGGCTTTGGTATTTTAAGGAGATTAGAATAGTCTTATCAAGTGTTTTAGAGCACGCACTAGGGTTTCAGGCAAGGAATTGAGTGAAACTCGAGTACTGATAACCATCTCGATATATATCCAATCACATTGAGTAAACATATTAGATCCACAAATTTCTAAGGGTGGACACGAACTAAGTTTTTCATGAGCTATTCAAACTCGACTCATGAAAAGCTTGATTTAACTCAATCTAAGCTGAGCTTTGTACTCAAAACATGAGCCCTATATATAAGCTCATTTGCTAATTTATTGATAAAAGGTATTACTAATTAGGGGGTGTTCTTTTTTTGGATTTTGAGAGGGGGGAAAGTTGGTCAATGGGATTTTGGTTCACATTGTCCAAGAATCCCATGTTCTTTTTTCAGATTTATGTGGGGACCAGGGAAAGTTTATTTTCCTAGGTATCACTTACAAAAATGCCCCTTTTAATAATGAATTTTTATGAATAAAATGGTTTACTAATTTCTATAAAGTCAATAATTATAGTTAACAATTATCAAATAATTAGGGAAACTCTTTAACTAAAAATCCATAATTATTTTTTTAAGTAATTAAAAAATAAGAAATTAATCTATTAAATAAATATTCTTCAAAACTATTTAAATAATAATCCATTCTTGTTATTCTACTAAATATTTATTAAAAATTTAGGAAAATTAAATTAGAAAATTAATCTATCAAAAATTGTTTCATAATTATTTAAGTAACAAACAATTATTATTATTTCAATAAATAATTATTAAATAACTTAGGAAAATTATCAAATCCATTCACACCAATCTAAACCACATGATTGGCTTCAATCATACCTGGTTTTACACTAATTAACAATAAATGGTTTGCTTTTAATTAAAAATAATGTAATTTACCCTAATTACATAAATTTACTATGATTACATTTACTTTGATTAATAGTAAATAATCTAGGCTTGAAAAGTAAATAATTTACATTAATTTATTGTTATTGTAAATAATTAATTTACTATACATTACTATTAATCAATGGAAATTTCAATATATTTTTTTAAATTATCATAAAATATTATAATTCATTATTATTTAATTTACCATTAGTTAATTAGTTAGAAACTTATTAGAATTGTAGGGGTGACAATTTTTCCTATAAAACTCGGGCCCTTCCTTGCCCCTCCTCGAATGGGGCAAATTTTCTCAAATCTTCAAAGGGAATGGGGCAAGGATAGGATGAGGATGGGAAAAATATTTTTGCCCCAAATTAAGGATGGGGTTTACTCGATGATAAATTAGTAAAATATCCATAATTTAATATTGATTTTTAAAATAGTTTTAACTTTTCCTCATTATTATAATCCTAAGATCCCATAATTTCATTTATTAAATACCCCTAAATTGTCAAACCAATTCTAAAATACTCCCAAATTCCCATAATCATATTTGTAAAATATCCATAAATTAGATTTCTTTTAGGTGATTGCCTTAGGATGGGGAAAATTTGGGGATTCCCCTTCCCCAATGGGGAATGAGTGCCTCGCTCTGAACCCACCCTGCCATTGGGGTCAGGGTGGGAATGGAATAGAGTGTCTTGACTTACAGGAGCGAAGGACAAGGAGGGGTGCCTCATCTCATAATATTAATATATGCGTGCGTGTATGTGTGTGTGTGTGCATATCTATATATATATATATATTTATTAATGGGAATCCCACAGGACAGATAGGGGTCCCCATGGGGCGGGGAGTGCTCTCCCCATCCCCACCAACGGGGATGAAAATTTCCGCATCCCCATCCCTGTGAAGGGAAAAATCATCACCATCCCTGCGCCATTCAGTGTGGGTCCCTACGAGGATCGGAGAAATGGGGAAAGTTGCCATACCTAAGCCAATGCAGCTTTATGTCTTCTGTTGGTCTGTCCTATGAATCGTTTGATCAAAATGGGTATGCAAGTTCAGTTTCTAGATGCAAACATCTACCCATATATTGAACGTTTGTATGGCTATTTTTATCTTTTCGTTACCATAGTGTCCCAATGCTTGACTGCAGAATAACAATATACAACTGATTTAATGATTATAAAGGAATTTTACAATAGATAGTTTGTGAAAAATGAGACACCCTACAATCTTTTTCTTCTTCCCCCACCCCAAATTGTACCTAAAAATGAACAAGCAAACCTGGCTTTCAAATTTCAGAATGAAGGACCATCAGAAAATTCCTCGCAGATGTTTGATGCCAGTTTAACTCATCCATTTATATTTACAACCTTCAAAGATTGTCAATCAAATATCTCCTGGGCTTCAATTATGCTATGCTGACTGGCACAGAGAACAAAAGCAAAATAAAAGCCTTAGATAAATGAAGAACAAAATGGAAAAGAAAAAGTGTGGTGACGATGATAGGTTACAAAACTTTGACTTACTGTTCATCCTTCGTAACCCGATAATATCGCTCTGCATGCTGGCGTTGACCAATTAGTTGAGCAAACCTCTCATCATGAGTAATTACTATCAGTTGGAAATTCTCTTGTCCTTTTCTGTCCTCCATAATTCTGATAAAGGTGATAGAATTTATGGGATGGTAAGTGTGAAAAATATCTTATAACTGCACCTTAATACCATTATAGAAAATTAGTAAAAGACTCGTACCTCAAGAGAGCTGCAGCAAGACTCTCAGCATTAGGACCATCCAGATTTGTAGTTGGCTCATCCAATGCCAGTATTCCACAGTTAAGGCAAAATGTTTCAGCCAGTGCCAACCGTATTATAAGTGAAGCAAGGACCTAAAATAAGAATGTTAAAAATGTGATATGACATTATTTCCTATTCAGACATATATCCAGTAAGGGTTACAAATATCAATTAATTCAGATTGATCCAAAAAAAAAAAAAAACCAAAATCAAGTGATTCAGAAGGGCTCAACTATCAGTAAGTTGGTCCCACTCAGGTACTTGTAAAGTATCAACATATAATTTAATAGGCAGTTCAAATTATCAAACCAAAATTTTTATTAATTCCGTGGTATTTGCACAGATAACAAAATTCCCATAACCAATAGACATGGACATAAGTGTTCAGTGTTGTTAGAAGTCGTGAATGGTATAGTTGAGTAAGCAGCAGGGTATTTCTGTCCATTTCTATATATTAACTAAGTGGAGTGTTTTTGTAACATGATTTCTAATCAGACACCTTTATAATTGTCAGTCAACAGGTGGAGATAGTTTTTTGACCCATTTGTTAACTCTTCTCTCTTCTCCCCCTTCCTATTTTCTATTTCTTTTTCTTTATTGAATTACTGTTACTAGGATTTTAAGAGATGGTATTAGATAAGTAACCTGGGATATCATATTTCCAAATAGTTTTCTTCTTATTTCTATAAGACTCCAACAGAAGTGTGGAAAGTTATAGAACAGGTAGGCTTATTGTGGCTAAGCTATGTAATAAGAAAAAAGAAAGAAAAGATGTCTGATGAATGGAGAAAGAATAATATGGTGTCTATATTCAAGAAGAAAAGTGATATATAAAGTTGTAATAACTATTGGGGGATTAAACTCAAGAGCCAAATTATAAAGCTTTGGGAGAGAATAATTGAGCAAAGGTTACAACATGTTACAAACAAATCATAGAAACAATTTGGGTTTATGCTAGGGAGATCAACCATAGAAACTTTCTTTCTTTTGAGACAACTGCCAGAAAAGTTAAGAGAAGAGAGATCTTCACTTGGTGTTCATTGATATAGAGAAAGCATATGATAGAGCCACTTGAGAGTTGAGAGATAATATGGTGGATCTTGGAAAAGAAAAGGGTTCTGAAAAGGTATATAGACCTAATTAAAGATATGTATGAAGGTGCAACAACCAATGTTAGAACACCTATGGGAGAAACATCAGATTTTACAATTACAATGGGTCTTCACCAAGGTTCAGCACTTAGCCCTTATTTATTTGCACAGATTGTAGATGAATTGACTAAATATATTATGGACAAGGTCTCATTGTGCATATTGCTTACTAGTGGCATTGTTTTAATTGATGAAATTAATGAAGGATTAAATGCAAAATTATGTTCATGGACAGATGCCTTAGAAACAAGAGGTTTAAAAGTAAATAGGGCTAAAGTATAATATTTGATATGTAAATTTAACAAGCATAGGAGTGCAAATCATATGACTGGATACAAGAGATAACTCAATGTGACCTTTATCAGTACCTCAGTTCAATAGTTCAAAACAAGGGGGAGATTGACGAGGATGTCACCCATAAAACTAGAGCATGATGGGTAAAATGGAGGAGTGCATTCGAAATCTTATGTTATAAGTGAATACTACTTGGAAGAAAAGGATAATTCTATAAAACAATTGCAAGGCCAGCTATGCTATATGGGGCAGAGTCCTTTCTTTTTTTATCAGCAAAAGGATTTCATTAATAAATTAAAGAAGCTCAATACAACTGTTGGAGATTTCAAGCACAACCAGGTTACATGAGTTTACAATTTTGCCCAGAAAAAGTTTGGTCTGTCAGAATAAACTTATTTATTTGTTCTGCCATCCATTTGCAACTGTTGGCATAGTTTCCAACACTCCTTGTTTAGCTAGAACAACTGCCACCCATTTGCAGTTCTCCTCACCCAGATGAAACTAGAATTTATTTGTTTTATTCTGACAAATAAAACATTTTTGTCTGCCAGCTGATTCTCAAATATTGGGTAGTGCTAAGCTTCCACCACTGGAGGAGGTATATTCTCATATGTGTAGGGTGTTTCTAGGCTCTATAGAGACAGTTGCTAGCTAAGACATGTTGACATTAGCAGTTACTAGAAGTGCTGGATGTGGTGATAATATGGGTGTTGGTCATGGTAACAAAGGTTGTGGTAGAGTTATCCCAGGTATGCAAGGAGGACTTGGTGGATATGGAGGTGGCCATGGAGAGGTTGAGTGCATAAGTGCACATATTGTGGGATGGAAGACAATTAATTCCTATTATGATGACCCACCTTCCATTTGGGCAAATCATGTAATAGCAGCTAGTGATGGTCATGGAGGCGATTCCACTCTACATGTTGATTCTTCCCTTTTAACACCAATAGATGTTATTAGAAAGGAGACAATTAGTATTCTACATGAGGAATACGAGTTCCTTCAATTCTCTAACCAGTATCAGACTACTGCTATAAAAGTACATTACCTTTCCAACCAGAATCATACTACTGTAGAACCAATTATATTGCAAACAATAGAAGTACTTTACCTTTCCAAATTGTGCATATTGATTTGTGGGGACCATATTCTATTGCATGTACAGGCGGATACTAATATTTCATTTTATTCATTAATGATTTTTCAAGATATACTTGGGTGTACCTCATGAAAATCAGGGAAGAAGTTCCAAGTGTTGTTAAGAATTTCTTGAACATGATTGGGACAATATGATCAATGAATAAAAATCATGTGATCAGATAATGCCTGTGAGTACTTTGAGAAGCATTTGAAGGTGTTCTTTCAAGAAATATATAATTCACTAAAGCTCTTGTACTCGTAGACCTCAGTAGAATAGAGTTGTTGAGATAAAGAATCAACATGTTGTAGAAGTGATTCATAGTTTGCTCTTCTAGATGCAGGTTCCTACACAATTTTAGGGTGATCTTGTTGAGACTACAATGTACCTAATTAACAGGCTTCCTTTCAGAGTTCTTTCTCTTCAATCTCTACATTGGGTTTTGCATCCTAGTGATCGATTCTTTCATCTTCTCTTGAGAGTTTTTGGTTCTGTATATTTTGTACATAGTTTAAGTCAAAATCATTTAAAATTTTATCCTAAATCTATTCGATGTGTCTTCTTGGGTTACTCTCTTTTCAAGAAAGGATACCATTGTTATGGTCCTTGTTTTAACATGTCACATTCCCTTAAAATGTTTCCTTTCTCCAGTCTTCAAGTGCATCTCTTTTGGGGGAGAGTTGTAGTGAAGAGAGAACTCCTTTTTGTTGTTTTGTTCCTACTAGTTTCACTGTTTTCCCTCCTGTTGTTACTTCTCTTAATTTATATCCTACTCACCCTTCTACTTCCTTTCCTATTCCTGCTGATGCTTCTACTAATGTGTCAAGATTGAAGGTCGATACTAGTCAAGAGAGGGTGACATCAAAGGCAGAAAAACCACCAACAATTGACTTCTCAGACTCGGGTAATTCTGGTACTACCATATGCTCGTACTCTTCATTCTTATTCTTGACCTCCTATTGCGGTTCAATAAGGGAAGAGACATTTTTCAAAGTCCTTTTCTTTCCCATATGCTTCTATTACATATCCCATCTCTAACTACATATCCTATGATAACTTGTCTCCTTCCTACTTTGCCTTTGTTTCTTCTGTTTCCATTCATTGTAGTGTTTTAGAGGCTATTAAACGGCCATAGTGGAAGGAGACTATGGATTAGGAGATGTATGCACTAATCAGGAACAAGACTTGGGAGTTGGTTGTGTGTCCAAAGGACAAGAACCCAATTGGTTGTTAAGTGGGTATACACTATAATCAGTGTTTCGAAAGGTGTGGGAGGTGTATGCTTGGAGGAGTGTTTTCAGGTGAGGCGCCCCCCAAAACGCCTCGAGGTGTATGCCAGAGGCATTGATGCCTATAAGGCGTAACCTTAGGTGCAAGAGGTGTACACCTCATATGCCTTTTAAATGAGGTGTGCTAGAGGCATACACCTCGTGCACGTCTCATACAAAAGACGAAAGAAAGAAGAAAGAAAAGAAAGGGAAGGAAGGGGAAGGAAAAGAAAAAGAAAGAAAAGAAAAGAAAAGAAAAGGGAAGGCAAATTAAGCATATTCTGAAGTTGATAGAAGATCTACTTATCGATGTTGTTAGTTGGAGGGAATCTTCTGACCTGGAGGAGAGAGAAACAAAATGTGATACCTTGATTGAGTGCTAAAGAAGAGTTCAGGGATATGGCTCATGACGTCTCAAGTGTTATTGTGGTTGAAACTATTGTTAGCCAAGCTTGGAGTGATACTTGATGGTGAGACTATTGTGACATCAAGGCAGCCATGATATTACTTATAACTCCATTCTACATGATCAAATTAAACATATTGAGGTTGATAGATTATCAGAGAAAGAATTGATCCCTAAGAAGTTTGCTTACAATTTATACGAATAGACAATCAAATTGTGGACTTCTTGACCAAAGCAATTAATAAGGCTAAATTATGGGGTTGTGTTTATGTTAAGGATACAAGATATATGTGCTTGACTTTTTTTTTTTTCAGTAAATAAAAAAGAAAACTTTTTCAGAACCAAAAGATGCAACATGCATCACCAGGTGATGAGAAATCACCCAAAACAAAAAAAATACAGAACAAAACAGGATAACCTAACACCACCCAACCAAAGCTTGTAAATCCATTCTGAACAGAATAAAATGGTACATGCAACAACCCACAAAACCATCCTGTACAAAATAAATTGAAGCACGTGACAACCCAACTCACCAGATTTCCCAACCACACCATCCAAAGCCCTTAAGCCATATTCCAAACCAACCACACCCCTTAATTCCCTCCATTATAATCAGTCCTTATCCTACCATTCCTCTTCAAACTCCAAGCTCATTATAAGCAAGGATGGAATATATGCTCCACTTGAGGGGCAGCATTACTTTGGTTAATCCCCGGTACATTTGTTAAACCCAAACTTTTCTTTTTCCAAATCCCTCTTCTTCTCTTCTCTCTTCTCTTCTAATCCATATACTACTAAAGTCATGTTGATCATTTTTGTTAAAATAGATGCATGACCTGGGGAAAAAAACTGAAAGTATGAGGATTCCTTCTAGTTCTTTATTATCTTCCTTTTAACAAATTATTGTTATTGATAAAAGAAAAAAGCACAATGACAACTCTTTGTTCCCACCAAAATCCTTGCATCTGCCCCCATATTTATCCTAAAAATTCAGCTTTTTCAATAAAATAACCAAAATGAGCAAGTTTCTTCTTGTTATTTTCCAGGAAATGCACAACCCAGTTTTAAAAGGAAGATAATAACAATAATGAGTTTGGCAGAAACACAGAGATTCAGACAGATGAATGGGAAAACTAGATAAGATAGGATCAGAAATGAACCTATTTACCTAGGAGTAGCTCCAATATTTGATAAAATGAGGGAAAGTAGACTAAGATGGTTTGGACACATGCAGAGAAGACCATCCACAGCACCAGTAAGAAGTGGACTAAGTTAAGGGGCTTGAAAGCTGGGGGTAGATCAAAAAGGACGTGGGTTTAAGAAATGAGAAATAATTTAAGGGTCCATTGTTTATAAATGGGTCAATGAATAGAATGGAATGGCGGAACAGGATTCTTGTATCTGACCTCGTATAGTTGGAACAGTTAAGATGATGTGCCTGGAAATTTTCCCTTTTTAACAATTGTGGCAAATAATGCCACTGAAATATTCAAGTAAAGATAACACTATACTGGATTTCTTCATATCAAGCTAAAATTAGACAGAAACCACTGAATGCTTACCTTCTGACCAGCACTACACCTTCCCCGCATTTCCAGTTCAGTATCACCAGTCTGCATGAGAACCTAAAGAACACACAATCAAAAGAAAATAAGCATCAGCCTGTTTCAACCAAAAGGTAAGTCCAAAGAACATTCCTTCATACCCGATAGCTATAGGATCGGGTTCCAGCACCTTCGGAATCGGAATGAATGCTTATATAATCTATATCCTGTCCCCTGTAGGTTTGCTGCCACAGTTCCCTTATGATTTTATTTATTTCCTCCATTTTCATGGTGTGAAAACGCATAAGTGCTCTGCAAATAGTGCAAATAGAAGCAATGCTTAGAGAAGTATATAGACAAATAGTTCAAGGATAATAATAAATGTTATTCCTGAAGAGACAAGATGAACAACTATTGTCAGATGCTTTAATTCACATAATATCGCACTACAATACAAGATTCAACAGCAGAGACATAAGCACTGAAATGTGAAATCTATAAGCACAAGAAAAAGCATGAAATCTTGCATGTTCCAGTCCTACTTTCAAAATGACTGCACGACACCATAATAGGACGCGCAAGGATGATGATAAACCAAAATAAGAAACATCTAAATAAAACATAATATCTTGGCTTAAGAATTATCTATAACACATCAAACAAGTTCAATTTTCATGAACAAATTGAAAGTCTCTGAAAATTGTTCAACACATGAAAAGAAACAAAACAACTTAAAATGCATTTGAAGTGCTTACTTATCAAGTGCATTGTAGTATCTATCCAGATCCTTGTTTGCCATCTCTGTTGTCTGTCATAGGAGTACACCATTAAAAAGAGTTAAAGAGAAAGGATAAAAGTATAAAGCATTTAGTAGAAACAGTGTTTTAAAAGCGCAAGGGCCAATTTGTGCCTGAGGCGCAAGGCGAGGCGTGCGACTTTTTAAGAAAGGCGCAAAATTACAAAAAAAAAAGCTAAAAAAATAAAAAAAAGTCAAAAATTAAAAAAAGCAAAAAAAAATTAAAAAAATGCAAAAAATATTAAACATAATAAAAAATATAAACTTAAATTTTAAAATAAATGTTTTAAAAAACCTATTATCTAAAATTAAAATGCATAAACATAACATGTAAAGCGTATTCAAATGAAAATTTAAAAATAAAAGCAAATATATAAAGCATTTTCAAKCATGTAAAACCCACAATCTCTTTTTCTCCTTAATTGCATTGCTTCAAGTAGCTAATGTGATGTAAAACATATTGCATTCTTGATTCTATGAGTTGCCTTTGTATCACGCCCCTCGAGGCAAGCCCGAACAAGTTTAAATTAGGGTCTGAAATTCTTATTTCTCACATAAAAAATATTGATTTTATAACTTTCATTGCCTTTTAAGAAGATATTTTATTGCAATGAATGAATGAACATTAGACTTGTTCGGGCTTACCTCGAGGGGCATGGTTGGGGGTCTAGAGGTGGAGCCCCCGGCCCAGCCGTTAGACTGAAAAAACAGCAAAAAAGCGCAAAAATTTAAAAAGGCACATGCCTGGGCTGAGGCGCAAGGTGCATTAGGCACACGCCTAGGAGCACCAGGCGTGCACCTTTCGATAGGGGCGTGCCTAGGACCTGGCTGAGGTGCATACCTCAAAATGCGCCTCGCCTGTGCGCATGGGCACGCCTTTTAAATCACTGAGTAGAAAGGTGCTGAAATAAAAAATCTTAAAAGAAAAGAATATTTCTTGAAGAAGAGAAGAAAGGAGAAAAGGAAGAGAAGAGATTTGAGAGAGAAAAGAGAGCTATATTGCTGGCCGGCCCTCTTCTCTATTATTTATAGTCTGAAATAATAAAGAGTACAAAGACCAATATGCCCTTATAGGGCAGCTAACACATAAAACAGCACAAAACAATTAAAATAACTGCTCAAAAAGGACCCAACAAGATGCTGTGGTCCCCACTTCCTATCTAAACAATAAATAATCAAAAACTACCAGTATAGACTACACAATTTGTCTAAAACCTCAACACATTTAAAAGTCAGACAAAGGAAGTTAGACCTTAAGCTGGATCATCTGATTAAAGTACCGCTTGTCAATGTCATTGTATTTTGCCTGTTTAAGGTCACATTTATACTCTGCAATATTCTTTTGATAAACAGATAGCGTTCCACGACACATGTTGAGCTGTAAAAGAGGCACTTATCAATTCTTACATGTCAGAAGAACAGAAACTACAAAAGAACATTTCAGTCAATTGGTTGGTGTTATTGATTCTGTCTCAGTTCCAAAGGAAGATGATATTGACACAATGGAGTAATAAAGTAATGTGAACGACAAGATAATAATAATAAGATAAATAATACATGCAATAAAATTAAGAAAAAATGTCTCCCAGCTCTAGTGAGGTAGAAAATTTCACTAACCAACTCTAATGACTAAGTAACTTTAGCAAGTTCAGGTTGAAGGGGAAAACATTAACCAAAGTTTCAAACATCTTCAAGCTACAATACCCATACACCTGTGTTGTAAGGTGTTTTTTCGTTATGTGTTTTAGGTGTAGGTGTCTTTCTGTAATTTTTCCTATTCTCAGGGACCTCTCTGTAATTTTTATCTTCATTAATATAAAAAGGGTCAGAGGGGTCCTCTCTCTGTACGAACAAGATTCAAACCCTTACATCCTGCTGTCTTCTTTTCTTCTCCTCTCTTCTCTTCTATTTTCTTCTCTTCTCACATGAGGTATCTGTGACAGATTACATGGTATCAGAGCATAATCTATCATAAAAAACCCTTTTTTCTCTTCTCATCTTCTACAGCAATCTGGTTTCTTAAAGGATGCACCACTGTAATCTGCTTGGACTGATAGGCTGTCATCTCTTCATTTTTTTCTTTTTCTGGTCATAGGACCAGTTGCCTCTTGTTTGTGGGTATGTTTCACCTTTCAGCACTTGTAAGAAGGCTGTGTGACCTTCAAAGGTGTGCTGTTTTTTGGGTGTTTTCTGTCTCAAAAATGTTTGAAAACTGTGTGAAGACCAGCAGTAGTCAACCAAGTTTATGCAGTAACAAGTTTGAAATCTGGTATGTTTGTTGCCCTCCAACTGTTTGAAAAAATGCTTCCTCAGTGCTAGAAACCTTCTGAGTTATTTGTGTGGCTGTTTGGGCTTCGGTTTAGCTTTTTCTTTCATCTTTTATTCAGCTGTTGGTGTGCTTCCTAGAAGCGTATCAGTTATGTGACCGGTTTTGGGACCTAAAGGTGTGCTGTTAACAATTTGTTCAGCCATGTCAACTGATAATTCAGTCACATCTAATCCTCTTGAAGGGCAAAGTAGTGCTAATAGCAGCATGGAGAATTTCAATTTCCCAGTCTCCATCATCCTTCTTGATGGGTTAAATTACTTGGAGTGGTCTAAAAGTATAAAAATGTTTGTTGGAGCCAAGGGAAAGTTGGGGTATCTCACTAGGAAGACCAAAAGACCTACTACAGAGGGAGATGGCTGTGATAAGTTGGAATAAGAAAACTATTTAATCATGTCTTGGCTTGTTTCTTCAATTCAGCCTTCACTTAGAAAAAACTTCATGTGGGCTGAAATGGCTAAGGAGATTTGGGACCAAGCAAAATCAACTTATTTGGAACAAAGGCATTTTGCTAGAATCTATCAATTACAAGTTGAATCATCAGCCTATAAACAAGGGGACAAATCTCTAACAGTCTACTATTTTTCTCACATCTATGCGGAAGGAGTTGGACCACTATAGGACTATTGACTGGAAAATAATGATGATGCTTTTTCTTATAGAAAATTACTTTCTCAAGAAAAAGTATTTGCCTTTTTGGCAGGTCTCAAATCCATTTATGAACCTATTCGAGTTCAAAATTTGTGCAGCAAGGAAACTAGGTCAGCTATGAATCGTCTTGAGGGGGAGCAGGTTGCTTTCCTAACTAAGGGTGAAAACTGAAGAGATGAGAGATCCATCATATGGATGCCTGAACTCTGCAGGAAGGTAGGGCAAAATTTCAAAAATTTCTCTCTCTCCCATCTGGGAATCACATTCCCTATTTTAGAAAATCTGCATTTTCAATGATCAATCTTGAACCAAGAACTGAACCAGATCTGAAACCAAAAGGTGGAGAGGGAGTTACCTGATACGAAGAAACAATATCTCCCAATGAAGGTGTTCACACCCAAGGAAAACTCCAAAGACTGCTCCCACTGAAGATGACACAACGTAGGGTGGAGTAGAATCAGCAGGTTCTTCACAAGAACTGACTCCTTCAGCAAGAATTCGTTGGAGGGTATGTGAGCACGACTTCAAATCAGTTTTTCTCCAAAAACTGATATCAAGAACCCTTCTTGATCACTCCTACAATGGAGATCGAACTGGCAATGGCGGCAGCAGGAGGAGGGCACAAGAGCAGAAGATGGTGCAATCTTACTGTAGCTGTCTTCTCTCTTTCTGTGATCTGAGATCTGTTGTGTTGAGATGAATGGAGGTTCGCCCTCCTCCTCCTTTTATAGCCTTAAAGAGAGCTCTCTTTAAGAGGTAAGGATAAGCCCTTATCTTATCTGCAGATTAGACCAGCCCTCCTAATCTTATTAGGAGTTTCCAAATCCAAATCTGTAATTGGATCTGGACTCTCTGAGTGGATAGAGATAACTCCATATCCTATCTGTTGATCTAAAACCCAGATCCGCCCCTTCTTTAATTAATCCAATTAAACCAATTCGAATTGGGCTTTAGGCCCATTAAGTCCATATGCTCACTAACCTTCTAAACTGCTGCCCAGTTGGGTTTCCTTGTTGGGCGTGGTACCCAAACATTGATCTACACATCAGCCACATGGGTTCAGCCTAGCCTCTATTACAAGGCTTGGCCGAATTCACTGTTATGGGCAGAGAACCCCTGAGCCCATCACCATGGGCTCTTAATGGGCCCAACACATACGCTAAGTGGTCCCTGGGCCAAGCCACCTTATAAAAACCCAGGGACTGTGGGCAGATGCAAGATTAGCCCATCAGGTACTACCCTCAATGGTCTTACACTT